TCCATCTAAAAAAAAATAAGTAAATAAAATAAATAGACAAGAAAGGATCTTTCTCCTACCGATTTCAAAGAAAGTGTGGCCCTACCGATGACTCCTTGATTTCAGACTTCTGACTTCCAGAACTGTGAAACAATACATTTCCATTGTTCTAAACCACTCGGGAGTACTTTATGATAGCAACCTTTGGAAACGAACACACCCAGTCAGTATTTGTTGAATGAACAAATGGTGCTGTTTGTTTGCTTCCTGATGAGCCGAGGCATCTTTCCACCAGGAGACGGGGATGTGCGTGTCCAGGCAGGACAATGGAAAGGTGCCTGGCCTGCTCTGTGCGGGGTAGTGAGCTGCAGTGAGCCAGGTAAAGCAGGATTATTTTTTTTTTTGAGACGGAATCTTGCTCTGTCGCCCAGGCTGGAGTGCAGTGGCACAATCTCAGCTCACTGCAACCTTCTCCACCTCCCGGGTTCAAGCAACCTCTGCCTCCTGGGTTCAAGAGATTCTCCTGCCTCAACCACCCAAGTGGCTGGAATTACAGGCACACACCACCACCCCCAGGTAATTTTTGTAGAGATGGAATTTCACCATGTTGGCCAGGATGGTTTCGATCTCCTGACCTTGTGATCCGCCCACCTTGGCCTCCAAAAGTGCTGGGATTACAGGCGTGAGCCACCACGCCCAGCCTATTTATTTATTTATTTATTTGAGACAGAGTTTCACTCTTGTTACCCAGGCTGGAGTGCAATGGCGTGATCTCGGCTCACCGCAACCTCCACCTCCTGGGCTCAGGCAATTCTCCTGCCTCAGCCTCCTGAGTAGCTGGGATTACAGGCAAGCGCCACCATGCCCAGCTAATGTTTTGTATTTTTAGTAGAGACGGGGTTTCACCATGTTGACCAGGATGGTCTCGATCTCTTGACCTCGTGATCCACCTGCCTCGGCCTCCCAAAGTGCTGGGATTACAGGCTTGAGCCACCGCGCCCGGCTTATTTTTTTTTTAAACTCCTATCTCTACCAGACATTCTACTTTTCTGGAAGCCTTTCCCTATGACTGCCTTCCCGCTGCTTTCCATTTTGCCAGGGTCCAGCTTCCCTTCCTTTGTAGAACTCTTATGTTCAAGAAATCATTGCTTCTCAATGTGATTTCCCACTGGAATCACCTGGGAAAGTTTTCAGTTTCACTGCCTGGGTTCCATGCCCAGAATTTCTGATTTAATTGTTCTGGGATTTTTGAGGCTTCCTGGGGGATGCTCAGGTACAGCCAGGGCTGAGAACCAGAGTTCAGAGAGCTGCAGAGGTTTCCTCTGCCCAGCTTGCCCTGACCAGGAGTCCCAGGTGTGAGGTTCCTCTCACCTGCTCATATCCCTAGGAAGATTCCAAGATGGCATGACCTCCAGGGTTTAGATACCAGACAGGGGAGCCTTAGAGGGCAGACCAGGAAATGGGCAGAGCTCAGGCTAAAGTGGAAGGAGGAATTTCCACCACTCAGCTGGGGGTTAGTCAGGTTGTCCCCAGAGACTCCTGGCTCCCATCAGTGGATGTGCCAGGGTGCCTGTGAAAGGGCAGGAGGTCAGACCAGAAAACGTGCCGAGTTCCCCTTCAGCAATCAGATTCTGAAATTCTGCCTAGCAAGGAACTGTTGCTTCATTGCCACAGTAGCACAACGTCCTGCCCCAGGGTGTGTGTGTGTGTGCGCTTGCGCATGATGACTTCTGCCCTTTCCAGGCAAGGGGGCCTTTGCACGGGGGTTTACCCCAGGCCTCCTGCTGGCGGCATACATGGGCGGGAGTGCTATGTGTGAGCTCACTGAGAGTTTCAGAATCAAATGCTATCCTTGCTTCCTCTTTAGTACCTCCTTGATTATCCCAGCCCCATCCATTTCTTCTGCTTCACTCAGAGCAGAGGTGGGGAGGAAGGAGGCCACTTGGAGGTCAGGACAGGGAGGATTCTCTAGAGCTGGCTGAGTTACTCCAAGGTCTTGGCAAGTGCAGAGGTCGAAAGCACAGACTGGTGTTGGACGGCCCAGGTTCAAATCCTGCCGTGGGCTGGGTGCAGTGGCTCATGCCTGTAAGTCCAGCACTTTGGGAGGCTGAGATGGGTGGATTACTTGAGGTCAGGAGTTTGAGACCAGCCTGGCCAACACGGTGAAACCCTTCTCTACTAAAAATATGAAAATTAGCCAGACGTGGTGGTGTGCACCTGTAATTCCAGCTACTCGAGAGGCTGAGGCAGGAGAATTGCTTGAACCCAGGAGGCAGAGGTTGCAGTAAGCGGAGATCACACCACTGTACTCCAGCCTGGTGACAGAGTGAGATTCCATCTCAAAAAAAAAAAAAAAAAAAAAAAAAAAAAGAGAGAGAGAGAGAAGGGAGGGAGACAGAGAGAATTCCCAAGAACCACCTTGTAATGGAGCTACTCAGGATTACACAATGTCCTGAAAGTAGTAAACTGTATGGCTGCTTCCATCTCAGTGCACCTCCCACACAGCTGGCACTTGGCTAAGCCTTTAATTTATCTCTTTGAAGATAGGAGAGCACGGTGGTCAAGGGCTCAAACTACAATCAGAGAACTGGCTAGGGCTCTAGTATGGCAGGAATTGTGTGGCCTTGGGCAAGTTTCTCAACCTTTCTGAGCTGAAGTTTCTTCATCTCCTGTGTCGGACCCCAAACCCCACAGTATTAATCACATTGTCCCCACCTTCACTGCCTGGACTCACAGGGAGGAGGCAGGAGGTCAAAGGGGTGGTAGTCCAGGCAGCAAGTTCCAGGTAGAAGCCGCCTGGCCAGGGATGGGTCCTGGAGGATACAAGATCCTAGACTGGCCTGAGGCCCCCTCCCATCCCCTTGAACAAATGAGGAAAGGGAGCCCCTGAGTGAGAAGCAGAACTGGGATGGATCACAGTGCTCAGGACTCCTAGTCCAGTGCTCTCCCTAAAACAGCACCCTCGGGGAGTCTGTGTGTTTCAGGTAGAGGCACCAGGACACCAGAGAGTTTTCCCCTCAGGACTCTACCAACAGAGTATCCAGAATGAGTAAACCCATAGAGGCTGGGTGCGGGGGCTCACACCTGTGATCCCAGCACGTTGGGAGGCCAAAGTGGCAGATAACCTGAGGTTGGGAGTTCAAGACCAGCACGACCAACATGGAGAAACCCCGTCTCTACTAAAAATACAAAATTAGCCAGGCGTAGTGACACATGCCTGTAATCCCAGCTACTCGGGAGGCTGAGGCAGGAGAATCACTTGAACCTGG